CGACAACGGAACGGTGGAACAAGGGCACAAGGGACAACGAACGCGTGGAACAGGGGCATAAGGCGACAACGAACGCGTGGAACAAGGGCATAAGGCGACAACATAAGGCGACAACGGAACGCGTGGAACAGGGGCACAAGGCGACAACGGAACGCGTGGAACAAGGGCAATAAGGCGACAACGGAACGCGTGGAACAAGGGCACAAGGCGACAACGGGAACGCGTGGAACAGGGGCACAAGGCGACAACGGAACGCGTGGAACAGGGGCATAAGGCGACAACGGAACGCGTGGAACAGGGGCACAAGGCGACACCCTGCTACCCACCAGCGACATTTCGGCCTCCAGCTGCGCCTTCCGAGCCTTTCCAAAAACCTTATTTCTATGTCCAGTTTCCTATCATTTTTTTAGTCAGAAGCTCATAAGTACTACGAGTAAAATTAGTTTGGGATTTACTTCATTAAGTAATGATTATCCGTTGTGAATAACACTTTCATCAAAAGCTAAATTTCGATTTGAGCCAACTTTTTCTCAGCCTTAACCTTACACTCACTCACTCACTCTCTCTCACTCTCTCTCTCTTTCTCTCTCATTCTCTCTCCTCTCTCTCCCTCTCATTTTCTCCCTCCCTCTCTCTCATTTTCTCCCTCCCTCCTCTCTCATTTTCTCCTCCTCCTCTCTCTTTCTCGCCTCTTCTCTCTCATTTCTCCCTCCCTCTCTCTCTCATTTTCTCCCTCTCTTCCCTCCCTCCCTCTCTCTCATTTCTCCCTCTCTCTCTCTCATTTTCTCCCTCCCTCTCATCTCCTCATTCTCTCCCTCCCTCTCTCTCTCATTCTCTCCCTCCCTCTCTCTCTCATTCTCTCCCTCCCTCTCTTCTCATTCCTCCCTCCTTTTCTCTCTCATTCTCTCCTCCTTTTCTCTCTCATTTTCCCCCCCTCTCTCTCTCATTCTCTCTTATTCGCTTCTCTCTCTTCCTCCTCCCCTCTCTCTCTCCTCTCCCTCTCCTCTCTTCTCTCCTCTCCTCCCCCCCTCACTCTCCCTACCCCCCGCCCTCTCTCCTCCTCCCGCCCTCTCTCTCTCCTCTCTCCCCCTCTCTCTCCCTCCCGCTCCCTCTCGTCTCTCTCTTCTCTCCCTCTCTCTCCCTCCCGCCCTCTCTCTCTCTCTCCTCCCGCCCCTCTCTCTCTCTCTCTCTCCCCTCGCCCCCTCTCTCTCCTTCTTCCCTCCTGCCTCTCTCTCTCCTCCTCTCTCTCCCTCCAGCCCTTCTCTCTCTCTCTTCTCCGTCCCTCTCTTCTCTCGTCTCTCTTCCCTCCCTCTCTCTCTCCTTCCCTGCTCTCTCTCTCCTTCCCTCCTCTCTCTCCTTTCTCTCACTCTCTCTCTCCTTCTCTCCCTCTCTCTCCTTCCCCTCCTCTCTCTCTCCTTCCCTCCCTTCTCTCTCCTTCCCTCCCTTCTTCTCTCCCTTCCTCCTCTCCTCTCCTTCACTCCTTCTTTCTCTTCCTCCCTCTCTCTCTCTCCTCCTTCCTCCTCTCTCCTCTCCTTCCCTCCTCTCTCTCTTTTCCCTCCCTCTCTCTCCTTCTCCTCCTCTCCTTCCCTCCTCTCTCTCTCCTTTCCTCCCTTCTTTTCCTCTCTCTCTCCTTCTCCTTTCTCTCTCTTCCCTCTCTTCATTCCCCCTCTCTCTCTCCCTCTTCTTTCCCGCCCTTTCTCTCTCATTTCCCCCCTCTCTCTCCATCCCCCCTCTCTCTCTCAATCTCATTCTCTCTTTCTCTCACTCTCTTTCTTTCTCATTCTCTCTCTCTCTATTCTCCATTCTCTCTCATTCCCTCTCTCTATTCTCTCTCCCTCATTCTATTCTCTCTTCTCTCATTTTTCACTTATTCCCATTCCCGCTTTTACACCCAATCTCTCATTATTTTCCTTCTTCCTCTTCCTCTCACTTTCACTCATTCAGTGTGTGTGTGTGTGTGTGTGGGGGGGTGCATGCGTCCATGCGCGTGCGCGAGAGCCCCCCACCCCACCCCCACCCCAAACCTGCCTCATCAGCCAGTCCCAAACCAAGGTCCGCGAGAGGAAGTTGTCTCGCTGACGTCATCCGGGTCAGGTCAGGCGTCGGGGTGTCACGCCAGCGGCCCATGATCTCAGTCCCCCTCTACCCCCCCCCACCTCGCCCTCCCCCTCCGACGTCCACTCGAGTCTCTCGCGCCGCGGCCGCAGGCGGGCTTGGCCACCGCTTCCATATTTAGGCGCCTCGTCAACTGAATGAGCTTCGCACGCCCACGAGCAGACTGTCGGCGGATATTAACCAGCGTGGACGCGGTGCGATCTCACGGTTAAGAGAGAAAAAAAAAACGCAACAAACAAGAGGAAAAGAAAGGAATGCAACATGGCCACATCTCATAAAAACAGACACACTGCATGACGTCACACATGCGAAAACAAGAGACCCGATATGAAGCCACATTTAAGAAAAAAAACACAAAATGCGACGTCATAAATAATAATAATAAAAAAAACCCACACGGTATGACTTAAACGAGCAAGACGACGAAAAGACACACGTGGCATGACGTCAGAAAAAAAAACAAAAGACGCGCGAAAATGCAAGGCGACACCTTGGTTTCGATCTTCCCCGGCCGCCGTCCGGGCAAGTCCGGCGTAAAGATTCCATTACTTTCGCAAGCCAGACCTCTAACTTCATATAATCTTCATGGAAATTCCCGAGAAACTCGTTTGGGAACTTTGCTCTAAGTTTACATAATATATACATGTGGACAAAATATGAAATTCGCGAAGCCTCTTTTCGCTTGATTTTTTTTTCTTGTGGATGAAGCCCCTTACTGAGAAAATGCTAATGGGCCACTTGGACAAAGGGATTGATACACTTATTGGACCACACACACTCACACACACACACACACACACACACACACACACACACACACCACACACACACACAACAACACATACAGCATTACAGTAGAAGAGATGAGAGAGAGAGAAGAGAAAGGAGAGAGAGAGAGAGAGAGAGAGAGAGAAGAGAGAGAGAGGAGAGAGAGAGAAGAGAGAGAGAGAGAGAGAGAGAGAAGAGAGAGAGAGAGGAGGGATATAGAAAGAGGATATAGAGAGGAGGATATAGAGGGGAGAGGGGAGGGAGAGGAGAGGGAGAGGGGGGGGGGGGGGGGGGGGAGGGAGAAGGAGAGAGGGGGGGGAGAGGGAAGGAGGGAGGGGGGGGGGAGAGGGAGGGGGAGAGGGGGAGTAGGTGGAAGAGGGGGGGGGGGGGGGGGGGGGGGGGGGAGGGGGGGGGAGAGGAGTCTGGGGGGAGGGGGGGGGGGGGGGAAGCGGCCTGAGTGAAGGAAGGGCGGCAGGCAGGCTTAAAGAAGAAGGCGCAACACAAGGAAGAGCACGGGAAGGGGGGAAGGAGACGGGACCAGGCGAGGACAGAGGATGAGACACGTGTTGATAGTGTTGTGTGTATAATAGTATTAGTATATGTATAAGTAGGTATTAGGTAGTATATAGAGTAGTATATATAGAAGGTATGGGTATATAGGGTAAGTAGGAGGGTAGAGTATATATATGGAGGTATAGACAAGGATGAGAGAAGAGAGAATGAAGAGTATATAATATAGAGAGAAAATGAGAAGAGAGTGAGAAGTAGATGAAGTAAGAATATAGAGTAATAGATGAGAATAGGAATAAGTAATAGTAAGTAAAAGAAATGAAAAGAAAGAAAAGAGATAGAGAGTGAATATGAGTAAAGAAAGAAGATAAAGTAAGATGTATAGAGAGAAGGAGAGAGTAGAAGTATATGAAGAAGTAAGTGAAAGTAGTATATAATAGATTGAAGAGAGTAGATAGATAGAGAGGAGAAATATATATATAATGAGTAAGGTATATATAGATCATTATAGTAATATAATATATATAATATATATAATATATATATATATATATATACATATTATATATAGTAAAGTAAAGATATGACAGGAAAAGAGAAGAAGCCGTATATATATGAAGGGAAGTGATATAAGCAGAGAAAACAGAGCGAGAAAAAACAAACAATGAATATGAGGGGTGCAACGACGAAGAGAACCAAAAAGACAACAGATGAACAGCAAGCAGAACGAAAGAGGACGGGAGTGCGGGGGACGAGGGAGGAGGGGAGATCGCGAGAAGTAACCGTAGGTAAGGAGAGGAATACAAAAAGAGAGCAGAGGAGAGAAAAATAGAAAGAGAGAGAAGAGAGAGAAGAGAAGAGAGAGAGAGAGAGAGAGAGAGAGAGAGAGAGAGAGAGAGAGAGAGAGAGAGAGAGAGAAGCAAATGCAGCTGCACATCCACCTGGCCCGACACACAAAGTTTCCCCCGATTCCCCTTGGTCAGACAGCAATAACTCGCACAACCGCCGGATGTCTTCGACTGCCCCGCGCATTCCCCGGCCAGTCCAGCCGCCAGTCATCCGGTTAACGGCAACTCAATAATCACCAGCAGGTCAATCCCGCGGCCATCGACTAACCCAATCAGCCCGGGATCTGAGCAAACAGCGAGCCACGTTTTCCTGCTCAGAATCCGATGCATCTGATCCCTTTCGTTCGGGACAAGGAAAAGGCGCTTTGCGGCGGCCATGCAAGCACTCGGCCCTTCCGTCCTTCCCGGACCCTCTCCGCTGGGCACACGCACTCAGACATCCTCAATGAAGGTAAAACAACAGACTCCTTGAATTTTTTTTTCTTTTTTTTACCGTTTTCGAGTGCCCAATATACCTTACGATCTAACCGCGTCTTCGTTTAGACCATTTGTTCTACTCCTTTGGTGAATAAAATCATATCAAGGAATCTGTACTACAAGGCAGCGCACATGACAAGGAACAGGGCAGGCGCTGGGAAAGGAAAACCTGCATAAAAAGGAGACATACGGCGGCCGAGGTGACTAAGGGCACAAAGAAGAAAGGCGGGAGAGAAGTCCTCGAGAGCAGCCCTGGCGGGGCCGCGAGGGGGCGGGACGTACCTGGAGGGAGAAGGTGAGCTGCAGCTCGACGTCGATGGTTCCGCTGGGCGGGAGCGGGATCTCGTTGGAGCGCAGAGTGCGCTTCGACGACTGCATCTTCACCGCCAGCGTCACGGAGGTCAGGTCGCCGCCTAGGGGCAGCGTGACCTGCAGCCGCGTCACCGTCACATGGCACAGCCTGCAAAAAAACAACACGAATTAGCCCCAGGCGCGAACGCAGGAAACCCTACTCTGATAACTCTTAAGCCCAGCGCCTCGACCCTTGGCTCGGCCAGGGCGCTCCGGCAGTACCTGGTGACGCAGGGCGTGTGGTGCAGGCGGCGCGGGTGCGCGCGCCCGCTGATGACGAGGCGCGTGGGGCGGCGCGGGGCCGCCTGGCTCCTGCCCCAGGCGGGCAGCGACGCGGCCGAGGGGCTGCTGCTGAGCGAGGGCGCGGCCACCCCGGCGCACGCCCGCACGCGGGCTCGAGGGGCGAGGGCGGCTCGGGCGACGAGGAGCAGTGCGAGGGGACGGGGCTGGCGGGCGGCGCGAGCGTGTGCAGGCCTGGGTACGCCGCCGTCCGTGTCTCCCGAGCCTGCGAAGGAGCGCGGGCGCCGCCCCAGCCACGCGCCCAGCTGGCGGGCGGGGCTGGAGGACGACACACGCCACACTGCGCCCAGCGAGCGCCGCGGGCTGCGGTCGGAGCGCGGCGCGGGCGGGTCGGGCCGCGTCGGGCTGCGCGCGCCCACCATCAGCACGGAGATGCTGGCGCGCTTGCGGAGGTGGTCGTTGCGCGGGCGCTGCGGTGGGCGCCATCGTCGGGCCGCAGGCGCTCGGGCGGCGAGTGGGTGGGCACGGGCGGCGTGGCCGGCGTGACGGACCACGAGCACGAACGCGGGACGCCGCCGGCCATCGTGCGGCTGCTCGGATCAGCTCCTGCGGCGAGGGCGCGCACCATGGCGCCCGGCGGGCCAGGACCGCATGCTCTGCGCCCCGTGCGAGGCGCCTCAGCCCGCGCGCTCGGGGCGGGCGGGGGGCGCCCCGGCATGGCGTAGGGGCCGCCCGCACGCCCGGGCAAGGCGACGGAGTCCCCGAAAGGCCTAGTCGAAGCCGCCCTCCGAGGCGTGAGCCAAACGGCCGTTCGCCGCGGACTTTCTTTCGAAATTATCCTTCTCCGTCTTCGCAGCGACGCCCTTGGGCGGCGCTCAGGGGACTTCCATCGCTATGTTCC